GGGGTGGCGGGAGTTTTTCCTTATCCGTCTTTCCAGATCCCACCCTCTTGAGGGGGTGGGGATGGAGGCCGCGAGACCCTTCCTAGAGTCCCCGGCCGGCGGCGGAGCCAGGCTGAGACTGAAACTGGGAACCTGCCCAGCCAGGTCTCTCAGAACAGCAGCCAGAGGCCGAAAGGGCCAAAGGGCCTTGGTCATAGGTCACTGTCCCTCCCGCCTGCGACCTCGGCCCACCCACCCGCCTGGGAGACGCTTGGGCGGGGGCGGAGGGCGGTGTCTGCCCCAGAGGCAGACGCCGCCAGGTGTAAGCTGCTCTCGTTGAGGCCTGCCCCAGCTGGCCGTCCAGGCGTGGGCGCTGTCCTGACCCCGCCTGGAGGCTACCTGCCTCCGGAGTGCCAAGGCCTAGGGTTGCCTCCTGGCCCTGGCCGAAGTGGGAGGCTGTTCCCATTGCTGTTTTCTCTCAATTATCTTCACTACTGCGCTCAACCCGTGTCTGACGGTTGAGTATAATGAGTGTAAGTGCTTTTACACGCACGAATTTCATTTTCCAACTCTGGTAGTTCCTGATGAGGAAATGGAAGCACAAAGATGATTCAACCTAGGCTGTTGCCTAAGGGCTTCCAGGCCAGCCCCCACCTGGGGAGTGTGCTGAAGGAGAGCTGGGTTGCCTTGCTCGGCCAGTCTCAGAGTGTGAAGTTGGCGTGGGGGAGGTTCTTGGGGCTGTGCTGAGTGCTTATACCCGTTCGCCAGCAGGGATGGAGGCTGGGGGAGGGGCTGGAGTGCCACCCCCTCTATGAGCAAACAGCTCAGTGCCAGCAGGTCGATAGGGTGTGGGTCAAAGCTCATGCTGCCCCTGGCGTCCAGGTGTGGAGCTCTGTCCTTGGAATTTCTCTGGCCCTCGGTTGGTCAGACCTAGAGGCGGGGCTGCCATTGACCATGAGCCGGATGGGCCCCAGGCAGGACTGGGCCTCTCCCACCTGTTTGAAGGTGGAGCCCGGTCAGGGACAGGTTTAACCTGCTTTGCCCCGCCCCTTCCCACCTGCTTGTCCCACTCCACCAGGTGTTTGCTCTGGCCCCACTCCAGACTCCTGGAGTGTGTGCAGTGGGGGCTTGGGGGATATGTAAATGCCCCCTTTTGGCCTGGAGAAGCTGATGGTGGACTGAGGGAAAAGGGGAACAACAGAGCCAGGCCCAACAGGTATGGCCACCTACTCCCCAAGCAGGGTAGGGCTGGCCGAACATCTGGCAGAACCAGCTTTGCAGCCTGCGCCCTCTTTCTTCCTGCCTGCCCAGCTGTGAGTCTGTCTCTCTCCCCAGTTCTCACAGCTGGTGCTCGGGGATGTGGCTCTGCTGGGCGGGGGCCCCTACATGCTCTGCACTGATGGACAGCAGCTGCTGCGACAGGTCCTGCATCCTGAGGCCTCTAGGAAGGTATGCCACTGAGGGCACAACAGGGGGCAGGGTTCCCAGGCCATCCATTGTCGTGGGGGTGGGCTGCTCAGTTTCGTCTATTCATCCCTGCTCACCTGTGCCCCCAGAACCTGGTACTCCCCGACACCTTCTTCTCCTTCTACGACCTCCGCAGAGAGTTCCATGTGCAGCACCCAAGCGCCCGCCTCGCCAGGGACCTCACCGTGGCCACCATGGCACAGGGTACCTGTGTCCCAGAGGGGTTAGAATGGATGGGCAGCCATAGGCTATATGTGTCTGAGTATGTGCATGCTGGTGGGTTCTATGAACATACCCAATTAGCATTATCTGCTGAGTCCTTAAGTGCATGTCTGTCTGGATTGGGGCACATTTGGAAAGTAGACATGTCTACATATGTCTGGGCTGGGGGATCTGTAAGGGCATACATGAGCAGGGCCAAAACATGTGCTTGCTGGGATTCCACGTGCTTATGTAGGGGACTTGGGCCTAGGTGGGACCAGTCATAGGGCTCACGCTGATTGCCCCAAGCCTCTCCTGCTGGGATTTCCTCATTATTATTTCACTGCTCATAGAGTTGGGGCTGGAAACAGATGCCACAGAGGATGACTTTGGGGTCTGGGAAGTGAAGACAATGGTAGCTGTCATCCTCCACCTACTTGAAGGGCCCAATGGTAAGGTTCCCCTCACCATCTGTTACACGTTCTCTCTCAGGGCTGGGTGAATGCCTGCCTATTAATTCCTCAAAGTCACCTTCCCTAGTTCTTACCTTTTCTGAGAGACCAGATGGTGGGAGCCCCTTTGTCACCCCCTCTTCAACTGTCCTCTTTTTAGAGAGTTTGGTGGGGAGACCCCCTCCACCAGACCCTGCTGACTCCCATGTCATCTCCTCTCAGATCAATTGTTTTCGAAGCCCGAGGTGATAAAGCAGAAATATGAGACGGGACCTTGGTGAGTGCAGGGCAGGGATGGGGGTGACAAGAGTAAGGCACCCTTGTTAACAGGATAGACAGCTCTGACCTTGGGCCCTACCCCCACAGCAGCAAGGCTGAGGTGGTGGACAGTGAGACTGTGGTTCGGGCCCGTGGGCTGCCCTGGCAGTCATCAGACCAGGACGTGGCTCGCTTCTTCAAAGGACTCAACATTGCCAGGTGGGTGCAGCATGATGGTGGGCCCAGGAGGGCAGGCCTACCCAGGAGGTACTAACATAGCCTTGCTCCACAGGGGTGGTGTCGCCCTCTGCCTCAATGCCCAGGGGCGAAGAAATGGCGAGGCCCTCATCCGCTTTGTGGACAGCGAGCAGCGGGACCTAGCGTTGCAGAGACACAAGCACCACATGGGTGTCCGCTACATTGAGGTGGGCCTTTGGGCTGGGAGTAGAGCAGAGCAGAGCTGAGGCCAGCCCCCTCAGGCCTGAGACCCACGGACTGTCCCCACTGTCCCCACAGGTATATAAAGCAACAGGAGAGGAGTTTGTAAAGATCGCAGGGGGTGAGTTGTGCCCCCAGCAGCACCTAGCTCCCCCTGGTTCTTGACCCATGTCCCACTCCCCCACCACCCCTTGCCTTTCTGCTCCCCTGTGTGCCAGGTTTGGATGGGTAGTTGGAAGGGCATGAATGAAGTCAGTAGGTGACTCCCATGCCACCCTCATCAAGGCACATCACTAGAGGTGGCTCGGTTCCTGTCACGGGAAGATCAAGTGATCCTGCGGCTGCGGGGACTGCCCTTCTCAGCTGGGCCAGCAGACGTGCTCGACTTCCTGGGGCCAGAGTGCCCAGTGACGGGGGGTGCCGATGGGCTGCTCTTTGTGCGCCACCCTGACGGCAGGCCCACTGGCGATGCCTTTGCACTCTTTGCCTGTGAGGAGCTGGCACAAGCTGCACTGCGCAGGCACAAGGGCATGCTGGGTAAGCGATACATTGAACTCTTCCGGAGCACTGCAGCCGAGGTGCAGCAGGTGAGCACCCAGGGCTCCCCCACCCCCATGTGCTTCTCCAGGGTGGCCCTTTCACCCCACTCCGCTCTGTGTCCCTGCCCTACTTTGCATGACCAGTTGCTGCCTTCCTTATTAGGTCCTGAACCGCTACGCTTCCAGTCCACTCCTTCCCACACTGACTGCTCCACTGCTGCCCATCCCCTTCCCAATGGTAGCTGGGACTGGGAGAGACTGTGTACGCCTCCGAGGCCTGCCCTACACAGCCACCATCGAAGACATCCTAAGCTTCCTGGGGGAGGCAGCAGCTGACATCCGGCCCCATGGTGTGCACATGGTGCTCAACCAGCAGGTGAGGCTGCTGCCAAAAGGGGGACACACAGAGAGGAGTGTGTGGTTGGGAGTAAGGGACCCTGGCTAACAGGATAGACTGCTTACAAGATGGTGTGCACAGGGCCGGCCATCCGGCGATGCCTTCATCCAGATGACGTCAGCAGAGCGGGCCTTAGCTGCTTCTCAGCGTTGCCATAAGAAAGTGATGAAGGAACGCTACGTGGAGGTAGTTCCCTGCTCCACAGAGGAGATGAGCCGTGTGCTGATGGGGGGCACTTTGGGCCGCAGCGGCATGTCTCCTCCACCCTGCAAACTGCCCTGTGAGTATCCCAGGGCTGGGGAAGGAGGAGGCATGTGGGTGCCAGTTATAACCTTCACTTTCTACAGTGGGGACTTCTGGCTGCCCCACCCAGGGCAGCGCCAGGCCCCCTGCAGATGTACTCTCTGCTTCTGCCTCTAGGCCTCTCGCCACCAGCCTACGCCACCTTCCAAGCCACCCCAACACTCATTCCCACTGAGACGGCAGCTCTCTATCCCTCTTCAGCACTGCTCCCAGCTGCCAGGGTGCCTGCTGCCCCCACTCCCATTGCCTACTACCCCGGGCCAGCCACTCAACTCTACATGAACTACACAGCTTACTACCCCAGGTACCCTGCTGCTAAGAGAACTGCATAGACTTGCCCCTGTCCTGGTTTGGAGGAGGGTCATGATCCTCTTCCTGGGTCGGATAACCCACGGTCTGAAAGAAGGGAGTGAGATGCGGGCTAGCTGATGCTATCTACAAACTAGAATAGATGACATAGAGGACAGGTTTTAGGGAGGAGGAACTAAAATGAACTAAGCATAAGTCAGAGGCAAGGGAAGAGGGAGGAAAGTCTTGGTGTAGGTTGTAGGTAGGACTGTACTAAAACCCTATTTTCCCACCCTAGCCCCCCAGTCTCTCCCACCACTGTGGGCTACCTCACCACGCCCCCTGCGGCCCTGGCTTCTGCTCCTACCTCAGTGTTGTCCCAGCCAGGAGCCCTGGTCCGTATGCAGGGTGTCCCATACACAGCTGGTATGAAGGATCTGCTCAGCGTCTTTCAGGCCTACCAGGTGAGGTGTGACTAGGGGGGTTTGGGGACCTGGCTGAGCCTAGAGCTCCCTGCCCTAAATCTCTGTTCCTTCTGCAGCTAGCCCCTGATGACTACACCAGCCTGATGCCTGTTGGTGACCCACCTCGCACTGTGCTACAGGCCCCCAAAGAGTGGGTGTGTTTGTAGGTGAGGGAGTCAGGAGGTAAGAGCTGGCCATCCCCCCACTTATTGCTCTGCTGTTCACCCCAAAGATGATAGCTAAATCTTGCATGTAGGGCTAGGGGTGGAATGGTGCTACCCTGCTCCCAAAGGCCTGACACCTGGGCCTCTTGAGTAGCACCCCAAAGATGATAGCTAAATCTTGCATGTAGGGCTAGGGGTGGAATGGTGCTACCCTGCTCCCAAAGGCCTGACACCTGGGCCTCTTGAGTAGCACCCAGAGAGCCTTTGGTCTGTTCTGGCTGTGGCCCATGCCCACAGATACTGTGGGGCTGACATCCACAGCAGGCTTGCCTTTTTTAAAATGTAAGCCCTGGTGCCTTCAATGTATGACTCCTCGGAGCTTCTGATGGTGGAGCAGAGAAACAGAGTGCTGGCCCCAGTCCCCAGGATGCTTGGACCTCAATGGCTACACTGTGCCAGGGGTGGTCCCACCTAAGGCTGCCAGCCCCTCCAGCTTGGCACAAGGAATACCAGACGGCAAAACCACAGGCTGTTTTGATGAGCTGTACTGCAGTATCCCCAGAGGACACTAGGGGGCAGGAGGCCCTCACATAAAAACTCAGGCTTGAATTTTAAAGGAGACTTTTCTGCCTACTTTTTGTGCACACCGTGGGCAGGCCAGTTGTCCTGAACTTAACAGACACGGTGGAATGTCCTTTGCACCCATTAGAAGGTGCAGAACTGAAGCTGCAGAAAGAATTTGGAACTCTACCCTCTCCAGAAAATAAACAAAGGTTCCTAACCACGTGGACTTTCTAAAACCAAAGTGCCCTTAGCTTTGGCCCCCAGGGTGAGGGGCTCCTCACCAGCCCCAGGCAGAGGAAAACTCAGGCAGAATTCAAGGAGACTGTTGACCTGTCATCGTTTATTATTTCAGCACTGTAACTGAGGAGCCTGAATTGCTGGCTCTTCCCTTTGTATTGTGTAAGGAGCACTGTACTCCTATAAAAGGTTTTAAAATACAAAATGTACAAGAAAACACAATCCCGAGTGCTGTAAACTGAACATCATCCATTTTATAAAATACAAGGTTTCAACTTGAGCCCATCTGAGCCTTAAAGATGACCATCTGTTCTGAGTATCAAAAACAGCTTCACAGCCAGACCCAGCAGAGCTCTGATGATAGTGACTAGCCCTGGGCAGCAGTGGGCTGCACCCCAGGCAGCAGCACCACACGTGATCCTGGAGACAGCTGTTCCTTTTAAAGCTGTTTTCAGCCATGTTTCTCTGTGCGTCTCTAATAAGCAGAAGGCTGCTCATCCCATTCTTTAATCCAAGATCTCACACCGGCTGGAGGGGTAGGAGTAGGTGCTAGCATATGCCCAGCTGCTCAGTGCTGCTAACTACAACCCAAATTGCATAGTCCAATGGATGTGTGCTTTATACCACTATGTTGCACAAAAATGTAAGTCTTTATCTACAAAGCCAAAAAATATTGACTCTTACACCAAAGCTTTTACAAAGCTGATACAAAACTGCTTACATAGTATACAAAGCTCTATTTTAAAATTCAACTTTTATTTTAAATAGGAAAGCATTTCTAGTGCTACAGGCATCAAGGTATTTAAAAGGCATCAAAATTTGGTGCATAGCAACTCTGGATCATAGAGGCTTTTATTCTTGAGGACAACAAAGCAACCCCCAATGGATCCTGCAAAGAGAACTTTTGTAAGAAACCCATGTGAGGCAGCTATACCAGGGACAAAAGGGTGGAGGCAAGTCTGACCAGCTCTGTGGAACTTCATCTTATTGGCCAGCCCCCCACAACCTCCAAAGGAAGCTGTGGGCTTCCAACCATAGCCCTGAAATATCTCACTACACTACATTTTCAAAGAAAATATGAAAACACCCAGCTCCAAGAGGACCAGAGTGATTTGCTGAAGGACAGACATTTTTTCTTAACTAGTTTTAAGGGAAAAATCTAAAACATGGTTTAAAGAGAGTAAAAAACAAACACTTCCTCATCATGGGTCAATAGCTCCTACCTGGGTGACTATAGGTGGTAGGCAATGAACAAGCTTCCTCTGCCCAGGACTCACCTGATGTCAGTAGAGAATCCTGGCATCTAGGACCCACAATCCCCTGGAATAACATCAGACCTTTAACCAGCCTAGCACACGGTCTCATATGTAGGCACTCAACAATTTTGCTTTCTGAATAAATAAAGTACATAATTTCACATGAAAACATACTACAAGCTTTGAAATGACCCAGGCCTTGGACCAAGTAACTTATCCTATTAATGGGAGTGGTAAGGATGGGGCTTGAAGAAAGCACCCAAGTTGGGCACTCCTTTGGTAGACAGCAGGCTGGAGCTTCTTGCTGGCCCCTGTCTTGAGTGCCAGCTTCACCTGCAGCAGCACCAGGGCATCTTTGGTCTGGAGGGTCAGGTTTATGATGCTACCTCATTTTTTTATTTGGCTCAAAGCCTTTTGGGGAAAAGGCTGGTTTTTAGGCCATGCAGATGGAACAGGGTAGGCCAGAATCTTTTTAGGCTGTAAACAGAATGAGGGATAAGCCTTCCGTGCCAGTATGAATCTTAAAAGCTTCCCATCTGGAGTCTTGTGCTTTCTCTGCTCTTGTTCTGAAGCATCACTCATTTGTGCTTAGTTCCTGACACAACCTGGCCCCTGGAGATGAGTTAGAACCAGCAAAATTGCCTAAACCATCATGAGACTGGCTTCAAAGGTTACAGAGCAGCCAAAGGCTAATGCTTCCACTTACAAAAGGACACAAAAAGGAAGAGCACTTGTTTGTAGGATGGCAGGAACTTAAAGCTATGAAGCTAAAACTTCACCTTTCACAGTCACCTCATAGTAGCTATCTTACCCAAGGCCCTGAGGGAAAAAAAAGCAATTTCAACATGAAGTCAAAATGGAGAGACTGCAGGAATATCTAGAAAGTTACAAAAAGGCTATGCTCTGGAATGTCATTTAATATTCCAACACTTCAATGATTGGAATGGTCTCTTCTCATTTTATCTAACAGTTTACTTTTGAAGAGGTATGAGCTACATTTGGCTTTATTTCCTATGATTCTATGAAAGGCTTCAGGACACATGCTGAGTTTCTGAGGCATAGGTGTGGGCTTGGACAATTTTTTTCTTTTATGTTTGCCTCTGGAAGGTTTTATCAAAAGTTCCTATTTTAAAAATATCATTAAAGCTAAAAGGTCCTTCAAATGACCACAAAGCAGTTCAAATCACTAATTCTAGCTAAGCAATGAGGTCATCTGCAAAAGCAGCACCTCTGAAATGAAGAGCCTGCTGCATTCACACTCAAAGCACCCATCATATAAAAGTATCCTATTCAAAAATAAAAAGCAAAGCTCATTTCCCCAAGCTCAAACAGCCTCTGCTGTTCCTGATCTTTTACAAAATCTACCCAAGTCCTGAGGTGGAGGACTGCTGCTTTCCCCAGTGATCCCAACTCCTGGCGCCAGTCCTGAAGGCCGCAGAGTTGGAAACCCAAGGTCCAAGGAGAGAAACATGCTGAGAAGTATATGGTGGTGGTGGATGCAAGGTTGCAGCGAGCACTGTCAGAGCTCATCAGATCTTCCTAAATCCAAGGAATCGGGACCAGGGAGGGGAGCCTGCCTGCTCACCCCTGTTCCTTGGGAAACGGAAATCTGAGACATGTCTCTCCCAATTATCTCGTTCACTGAAAAACAAAAGGGAGAGTAATTAGTGACCTCTGTGTGACTGATCATGATGCTCAATGCCAATCTCTATTTCAAAGCCATTTTTCCTCTTGCCATGGCTTTCTATGAAGGTAAAGACAGTGCTTGAAACCTGCTCCTGAGCTGAATGGAAATATTCTATAGACTGTTTCAGATCCCTCATTCTCCCTTTCATTTCAGTTGGGTTGAGAAGGTGGGATGGCTGAGAAGAACAGAGAAATGTGCTTACACTCACTTGGCTCATGCTCTAGAGCAGTGGTTCTCAACCTTCCTAATGCCATGACCCTTTAATACAGTTCCTCATGTTGTGGTGACATCCAACCATAAAATTATTTTCATTGCTACTTCCTAACTGTAATTTTGCTACTGTTATGAATCATAATGTAAATATCTGATATGCAGGATGTATTTTCATTGTTACAAATTGAACATAATTAAAGCATAGTGATTAATCACAAAAACAATATGTAATTATATATGTGTTTTCCGATGGTCTTAGGTGACCCCTGTGAAAGGGTCGTTCAACCCCCAAAGGGGTCGTGACCCACAGGTTGAGAACCGCTGCTCTAGAGCAAAGGATAGGATACTTTTCATAAATGTGTTCACTTTAACCTAACTTTTCCTTAATTTGCATCCCTTTAGGAGAGTTTTCCTTTTTTGATCTTGCAATGCACCTCATATATAAAGTGAATGAAATGAACGCTTTGTTGAGAGTAAACCACTGGGATTTGGAGGTTATTTTGTTACCCTATGTTTATGAAAGCATCCTTTATCTATCATGTGGGGGCATTTGTATTGTTTCTGATGCTTTCTGATTGCAGGCTCTTGGTTTTCTGTTGGTTTCCATGACTGGGAACACAGTGCTCTATGTCTAGTGCAAAGAATTTCAATCTTAAGGAACCAACATAGAAGAAAACACCCGCCCCCAAATAAGAAACTAGTTCTCTTGCCATGAGAACTCTGATTTGAAATGAAAATTCTCTGCTTTATCAACTAAAGATTCTATTCCCAGGCATATAATAAAAGAACTAAAAACATATCCACATAAAAACTTGTACCCAAATGTTCATATTAGCATTATATATGACAGCCCCAATGTAAACAACCCAAATGTCTACAAAATGATGAACAGATAAACAAAATGTGGCCTATCTATACAACAGAATATTATCTATAATAATAAAAGCATAATATGCTAATTAGACCTGACAACCTCTGGATGAAGCCAGGGCTGCGAGGGAAGCCCAGGTCCTGGGTGCCAGAGGAAAGCTGGTGTCGACAGCCAGGGGAAGGAAGGCCTATTCTTTTTTTTTTTTTTTTTTTAAATATATTTTATTGATTTTTTACAGAGAGGAAGGGAGAGAGATAGAGAGTTAGAAACATCGATGAGAGAGAAACATCGACCAGCCGCCTCCTGCACATCTCCCACTGGGGATGTGCCCACAACCCAGGTACATGCCCTTGACCGGAATCGAACCTGGGACCCTTCAGTCCGCAGGCCGACGCTCTATCCACTGAGCCAAACCGGTTTTGGCAGGAAGGCCTATTCTTATATGAATTTCGTGCATCGGGCCTCTAGTCTATATAATAAAAGCCTAAGCAATGACCAGAACGACTTGTGGCAATGATGTGCACTGACCATCAGGGGGCAGATGCTCAACACAGGAGCTGCCCCCTGGTGGTCAGTGCATTCCCACAGGGCGAGTGCTGCTTAGCCAGAAACTGGGCTCACGGCTGGAGAGCATAGCAGCGGTGGCAGGAGCCTCTCCAGCCTCCACGGCAGCGCTTAGGAGCAGCGAGCCGAGCGATAAGCAGTGTGCAGGCAGGCAGTAAGGAGTGAGGGCTTCTGGACATCCCCTAAGAGGTCTCGGACTGTGAGAGGGTGAAGGCTGGGCTGAGGGACAACCCCCCCCCCCAACCCCCAGTGCATGAATTTCGTGCATCGGGCCTATAGTTCAGCCATAAAAAGGAATGAAATTCTAATACATGTTACAACATGGATGAAACTTGAAAACATGATAAGTGAAAGAAGCCAGACACAAAGGCCATATATGGTTTGATTCCATTTGTATAAAATGGCCAGAACAGGCCAATCCATATAGACAGAAAATAGGCAGTTTCCAGGACGTGTGAGAGTAACTGCTAATGTATATGGAATCTCTTTTTGGAATAATGAAAATGTTCTAAAATTAGACAGTGGTAATGGTTGCATAACTATGTGAATATACCAAAAATCACTGAATTGCACACTTTCAAGGCTGTTATAAACAAAAATAGACCAAGATAAAAAAATTCTACACTTAGAGTTTGATGTGGTTGTAGATCAAAGGAGATACAATCATTTTTAAAAAATCTTCAAGCATTAACATCTAATCTTTTCATAGTTTAGGTAGTTAAAAAAATTCTTCAAACTCATATTAATTATGGCTATAGGGAGAAGGGAACTAACATCCATTCCACAAATATTTATTGAACATCTACAGGTTAGACCAGGGGTGGGCAAACTTTTTGACTCGAGGGCCACAATGGGTTCTTAAACTGGACCGGAGGGCTGGAACAAAAGCATGGATGGAGTGTTTGTGTGAACTAATATAAATTCAAAGTAAACATCATTACATAAAAGGGTACGGTCTTTTTTTTTTTTTTTTAGTTTTATTCATTTCATCGGGCCGGATCCGGCCCGCTGGCCGTAGTTTGCCCACGGCTGGGTTAGACTCTATAATTGAAACTTTATATCTTATTTCAATTAATCTTCACAATATTTAAGATCACTACTACCCTACTTTATCAGTTAACTGAGTCTTTGACAGTTCACATAATTTTTTTAGTAAATAAATGGTAGAGTCAGCTTCAAAATACCTGTCACTTTTTAGAGGCCAAAGGACTAAAGCAGGGAAATCATTTAGAAAAAGAAAATGCAAAGGACCTGTGACAAATGTGTTATTAGGGGAGGGAAAGTGGGTGTAGTGTGGTGATGGTAGGAAGAGGGAGAGATGAAAGGACTGACTCACCACCACCACCACCACCACCACCAAGGTTTTGAATCTAGAAAGAATGGTGCTGTCACTATTGGAAATAAGCTGAGGAGGAATTTAGAGGAGGAAGGTGGTTAGGTAGGTTACGTCTGGAATTGGAAATTAGAACATCCAACTGGAAAAATCCTGTGGGCAAAGGACTACAGTGAATGGTCAGAGCGAAGAGATTTAGGCATCTTCATGCTAGAAACCTGGAGAATGGGCTAAGTTTTATAGTTTCACCAAAGAGCAGAAGGCTTAAAATGAGTGGGAGTAGCATTGTACTCTGATAAGCTAGAACCTGAAGAAGCACATATGTAAGCAGAAGAGTTGCTTAGAAATTAGCTTTGATTTGAATACGTGCTCTGCTACTAACTCCATGTGTCCTTGGACTAGTTACTTCACATATCTAAGACTCCATTTCTTTTTACAATTATGGTGTTAAACTAATGAAATTTCTTTCAAGTGTAGAAGTATATTTTTATGTAAATGACAAATTTTTAAATGGCAATACTCAGAAAGGCAAGGAGATGAAGGATGAAGATTTGGTTTTGATTGTGGTTAGTACTTAATGTAGACTAGTAAAGAAGGAAGGAACTAGAAGCTAAAGGAATCTAATTACAAAAGGGATGGTTAATCAGGTGCTGGGCAAGGTAGTAATCACTAATTGAGGACCAGTTTTGTGGAGGTATTGGGTACAGAGCTATGGGAAGAGGGAGAGGATGCTTTTTAAGTAAATTTTCTAGACTAGGATTTATTGACTATCCATGGTGGTTTGCAAAGGATGGAATTAATCTAAACCTATTCCTGTTAGAAATAACTAGCAGCTATGGAATGTAAGTTTCCATGTAAATGAAAAGTTACAAGGATGTTTTGCATGACAAGACATCTTCTAATGGATATTTAAAACACACACACACACACACACACACACACACACACACACACACACACACTACCCATATAGTATTTAGTGAGAATATAAAGGGGACATAAATAGACTAAAGCAGTCCTTGGCACCCCTGTTATTTCAAACTACATAATAAACTGTTTTCAGCCCTAGCCGGTTTGGCTCAGTGGATAGAGCATCAGCCTGCGGACTGAAGAGTTCGATTCTGGTCAAGGGGACATGCCCGGGTTACAGGTTCAATCCCCAGTAGGGGGAGTGCAGGAGGCAGCCCGATCAATGATTCTGTCTCATCGTTGATGTTATTATCTCTCCCTCTCCCTTCCTCTCTGAAATCAATAAGAATATATTTTAAAAAGAAAAGGAACAGCATTTTCAGTGTGGATTCTATGTGTGGATCTACGGGCTAGTACCACACAAAGAGGGAGCACAAGGATGGCCAATGATCTCTGTGCATGGCCTCTAACATTACTCATCATTTTAAATTATCAGTAGGCATCATGGTTCGTCTCTCAAATAGGTTGTGAGCTCCTGAAAGGCAAGGGCCTTATTACTGAGAAAACATTAATTTTTGATGACTGAATAAATGGATCCTAATTCGATACAATTACTTCGAAGTTATTTGGAGCGAGTGCACTGAAAGTTCATTAGGGTAGGAAGGGGACCAGTGAATGTGACTGAGACTAATACATGACATCTGATTTTGTTTTTGATAGTGTCTATTTTAGACAGGTCTCACAGCAGTGACAAAGAGCCAAACACAGACGCAAGTACCCACCCAGGTCACATTCAAGTCACCTTTTCTTATCACTTAACAGTTCCAAAGATGGTAATTTCAGAGATGATCCAGGCAGCCACACAAAACACCTTTTTCAATTCTTATCTCATTGTTCAAGTTTTAAAACTGCAAAGGGATTAAAAATGGTGCTTTCTCGTTACCAAAAACCACATGATGTATAGTTTTCCTGTGTTTTTATGAGGAAGTCAATGCTTCATTTTCTTGAGGATGAGTCTTTATCAAGCAATATTCACCCATTACCAAGTACACTTTGATCATAAG